AGATGATCATACTCAGTAGCTTATAAGCTTTGTAATGATACCTTACAAGAGACCTTTTGCATGAAGCATATCCCAGTTACGTTACATTCACTTATTACCGTATTTTCTCTAAAACTATCTCAGTTACATTATATTGACTTATCAAGTTTTTATAAAACCATATAGACTGCACAACGTCACAGCTATGAAACCTCAAATTATTTCCATCTTTCAGATGGCCATCTGTTAAAGCCTCCCCATACACATTTAACTTCAATTCCGACCCTAGAGGTACTTTGTTCTGACTAACCTTGTATGGCTCAAAAGAGAGAAGTCCCATAGGAGTCCCACAAGAACAGTGCTCCACTACAGCCTACTTCTCCTCTCAATGTTACAATTTCATTCATATTGTCATACTCAGCTGCAAAACATTGACTTCAGCCTCATGGTTATTCATGTGCAAATCACACATTGCCACTAGGCAGGTCTGTAGTCATCTATCTGAGGTTGAAATTCACGCTGTGCATTTGAGTACATGTAATTGTGAGAAATTGAATGTGCATTTTGACTGGTAATATGTTGGAGCATAGATGAATTTATTTGAGTGAGTTTAAATCAGTTTTTAATTATTTAAATCAAGTGGGAAACCTTGAAATAAATAATTGATTTTAATCTTGTTTTGTGTTTGTACTTTTTAGTTATTGTCCTAAAGAGAGGTTCATTCTCATGTTCATTTGCAACCAAATATAGCCCTCACACTAAATTTGGTACTACTTTTTGCAAACCAGAAGGATACACTATGCACGCTTATGTAAGTAACTGTATAGTGTGAACATTCAGATACTTAATTTTTACCTTTTTATTATGTTTAAAATGGTGAATGACTGCTTTATTTACTAGATAACTTTTTACTCTGGACGTATCAAGCTGCATTTGCATGGGAATTGGAATTCAATTAAAAGTACAAAAACAACATTTTTAAATTGTTCGATAAAAAAGCTATCATGTGCTGTATACATAAACATTTTTCTTAATAAAACATGTTTTGCATTTAAAACTTTGCTTTATTAAGCAAAGGAAGTATTATTTGTAGTTGGTGAATTGATGGATTGTTTCTGGTCACCATGGGCCAGATTTTTAAGGGTATTTAGGTGCCTGAAAAATGCAGATAGATGC